GAATTGCATGCAGCACACCAAGGGATCGCATCGACAAGTCGGCGAGCCAGAGAAACCGTCTACTGGCCACACCTGAACCAAGAATTGAAAGACCACATCTCACATTGCATCACCTGTGACACATTCAATTCCAAGCAGCCGAAAGAACCTCTCATCCTGCATGAAATACCAAAGAGAGCATGGGCAAAAATCGGTTGTGATATCTTTGAATTTGAAAAGAAATCGTATTTAGTAACAGTGGACTACTACTCGAACTTCTTCGAAGTTGACCGCCTTGAAAAATTGACATCACTGGCAGTCATAAAGAAACTAAAGTCCCATTTCGCCAGGTTCGGTATTCCAAATACTCTCGTGACAGACAACGGCCCACAATTCATCAGTGATGACTTTCGAGACTTCTCTATGAAGTACCAATTTGAGCATATAACGACCAGTCCCTATCACCACCAATCCAACGGCAAAGTCGAATCTGCCGTCAAGCAAGCCAAACGAATAATTCGAACATGCAAATCATCAAACGATGACATTTACCTTGCCCTCCTTGCCCACCGAAACACCCCCCAAACAACTCATTAAACAAGTCCCGCACAGCGACTGTTTAACCGCCGTACAAAGACTCTCTTGCCCGTCTCGGAGAAGTTGCTCCAACCGAAGATAAATCCGCAAGCAAACAAACGCATCCAACAAAGACAACAGCTCCAAAAGAAATACCACGATCGTGGCGCAAAAGAGCTCAGCCCGTTGCGGAAAGGAGAAGTGGTGAGACTACAGCCAACCCGAATCGGCGAAAAGAAATGGAAGAGAGGGATAGTCGTACGCAAAGCCGGGATAAGATCATATGAAGTCCAATGCAAAGGGTATACCTATACTAGAAACAGAAAATTCATCCGACGATCAAGGTTACCTGCAGAATTCGGTAGTGACAACGCAGACGAAGAGATGTCAGACATGTCCGAAGCGGAAGAGAACGTTTCTGTACCTACTGACAATGATCTGCCCCAAGAAAACCCTCAACCAGCACACTTAGAACGCAATGAAACAAGTACCGAAACAAGTTCTACAAGCAAAACACGTAGTGGACGGTTAGTTAAAAAACCTGACAGGCTAGGTATAGACACATGCATAAGTGAACGCGGTATATATACGGTATATTTATAAAGAAAAAACTTTCAGAGAAGAGGAGATGTTGGACATTTACTGTTGACATTAATATTTTAGTTATATTTGCTCGGACAGGGAAAACTGGGAACGAACGAAAAGGGCGCGAAATAGTTGTAGGACACGGGATTTTAGAGATATAGTATATATACATGTTAGGAGTTTATATTATGCGAATTATACTATAAGAAATAAAACTATCAAAAGTTAATGAAAGTGAGAAGCAAATAACAATATCATTCATCGTGTTGCAGAAAGAATCAAAGCAAAGAAAATTAAAAAACTCTCTCTTGACGTGACAACTATGGAAAATGTCGAGAAAACGTACAACACGTGGCAATACGAGTTTCCAATCAACACAAGTGCTGGAAAGAAAGTCACTATTACGGCTTTGGCCTGGAGCGAATTACTGGACAAGTAAGTAAACTGGATCCTAAAGTCCTGGTCAAGTTATTTCCAGAGTATGATCCTGAAACACTCCAGCGAAAGTCAACACACGTGGATGTCCTGCTAGGCTGTGATTACTTCGGTCTCCATCCAAAGCAAGAAGAAGCTAGATGTGGTGACAATCTAAGTATCATGAATGGAGCATTGGGGATTTGCCTCCAAGGCGCCCATCCAGATCTGATCGAAGAAACAAGATATGACAGCAATCTCGCAAAGAAAATACACGATGTTAACGTGAAAGTGGAGACATACAAGACACGCTTGGACTCACATCCAGAGTTCCATCCCAACCATACCAAAGAATGTTCTGTTAATGTATCGAGTTCCTATAGTCACCGAAAAGACGAAAGCCAGATTGACAATTTTATACAAGGAGAAGAACTTGCCACCGAAATTTCTCTACAATGTGGTGGATGTCGCTGTAATAAGTGCCCTACTGTCGGACACACTTACTCTTTCAAGGAAGAACAGGAATTAAAACTGATTCAAGAAAACCTCGAGTACGACGAAGTTAACCAATGCTGGATAACCAGTTACCCCTGGCTCGTAGATCCACAAAGTTTACCCGACAATTATCACACTGCACTTGCTACGTTAGAAAGAACTGAAAGAACGCTTAAGAAAGATGACCAATGGGCTAAGACGTACAAGAGCCAAATGAACGATATGGTCGATCGTTGTGTGGCAAGAAAACTATCATCCGAAGAAGTAAAGAGCTGGACTGGCCCAGTTTTCTGTATCTCCCGTTTAGCAGTTGTAAATCCGCATTCCAATTCTACGCCCGTGAGAATTGTGTTCAACTCCAGCCAAACGCACAAAGGTGTTTCATTAAATGCTTGTCTCGCAAAAGGTCCAGACAGCTACATGAACAACTTGGTTGGTATTCTTCTACGTTGGAGAGAAGAAAGAGTAGCGCTAATCGGAGATATTTGAAAGATGTTCAACTCGGTTTATTTGAAGGCCTAGGAACAGCATTGCCACCGTTTCCTATGGCGAGATTTACAGCAGCATCGCCCACCGGACTTTTACGTAATACAACGAGTCAATATGGGCGATACACCAGCCCCCGCCATCAGCACAGAAGCTGTCTACAAGACTGCGGAGTTGTATCGAGAGGATAGTCCACAAGCCGCAAATCTCCTAAAACATTCCAGTTACGTGGATGATTTGATTGACTCACGTCCAAGTAAACCCGACGCGTTAAAGATTGCCAAGGAAGCAGAGGATATCCTTGCCAAAGGAGGATTTGCTGTAAAGTGCTGGCAATTCAGTGGCGAAACACAACCTCGCGTGAAAGAAGAGTTGTTAAGATTGGACCTGCCAGAAAAGAGTGTTGAAAGCTCAGACCAAGGACTAATAATGTTAAAAGGAACTGACGAAAACTTACGAGTGCTCGGTCTTGGATGGAACCCAAAGAAAGAACCACTTCCCGGTGAAAAGAAAGTCCATGTTGCAGCAGCATCGAGCATAGAGGCATTGTTGATCGACTATGAACGATTCAGCAATATCAACAAAGCTATTTGGGTCGTCGCCAGATTGCTAAACATTGCGAAGAAGAAAAGTTTTAAAGGCGGAAGGACTCTGTCCATCTCGGTTAAGCAATTACAAGAAGCCGAAAACTTTATTGTTAAAGAAGTTCAGAAATCAATTGAAAGTGAACTGACAAAAACTGATCTCAAAGGAAGGAAAGGTGGTCGTTTCGCTTGTTTGAATACAGTCCAAGATGAAAGTGGACTCTGGGTAGTGGGACAGCGCCTGAAGAACAAAAATTCCATGACAGTGGATTCTTCGCTCCAAAAGCTATTGCCCTACCGACATCATGTCACCAGACTCTTCATGCAACGAGCTCACAGTCCTGGTCATAGAGGTCGTGATGCAACCTTAGCACGATTCCGTCAACTCTACTGGGTAACCCAAGGAAGCAAACTCGCTCAATCAGTCAAGAGTAAATGTCAGATGTGCAAGCTACGAGAAGCAAAGTTCCTCGAGCAGCAAATAGGACAACTACCGGAAGCAAGATTGAAACCAGCTCCAGCTTTCAACCACGTTATGATAGACCTTTTCGGACCCAACTCGGTTCGTGGAGAAGTACAGAAAAGAACAAGTGGTAAAGCGTACGGAGTAATCTTCACAGATCTAGTTATGAGAGCAGTCCACATTGAAGCTGTGTTCGGGTACGATACCGAATCATTCCTAATGGCCCTCAGCAGATTCGTCAGTGTTCGTGGTTGGCCCAAAATCATATATAGTGATCCCGAATCACAACTAATTGGTCCGGAAAGAGAACTCACGGAAACCTGGAAGAGCATTGACCGACAATCCCTACATAAAAGTGGCACAGAGAATGGATTGACCTGGATCTTCGGCCCCGCTGATAGTCCTTGGTACCAAGGAGCTGTAGAATCCCTGGTGAAGAGTGCCAAGAGAGCTATTCATTTCGCAATCAATAACCAACGTCTTTCAGTCCAAGAGTTCATGGCGGTGTGTAGCGAAGCCACGAACCTTCTCAATGAAAGACCTATCGGAACCCTCCCGAGCGCTGATTCCGAATTAAACATCCTTACTCCCAACAGCTTGTTACTGGGCAGAGCAACGGCGAAGAATCCTGGTGGATGGCAGCCTAACGGTAATGATCCAGGAAAGCGTTATCATTTTGTCCAGATCGTGACAGACGAGTTCTGGAAGAAATGGACGGAGTTATACGCCCCAGCCTTGGTTATTCGTCGCAAGTGGAATACAGCCAACCGTAACCTGCGCCCAGGAGATGTTGTAATAATCGCCGACCGTAATACCTTGCGAGGAGATTACCATTTAGGTATAGTACAAGAAGTGTTTCCCAGTCAAGACGGAAAAGTTCGTCGAGTAAATGTCATGTACAAAAATTTTCAAATTGGAGAAAAGGTACAAAAATACAAAGGACATAACGAGGCTGTCATTGTGTCACGAAGTGCTCAGCGATTATCGTTATTAGTACCAGTGGATATGGATCAAGACCAGGAAACCAAGTCGGAAGCAAAAGAGAGTGTATGAACGGACAGTGACATTATATAGTATTGAGTGAACAATGCATTAGAGAAATTTACATTCAGATTTTAAGACGCGATCGCATCGACCCCAGTCCTTCCGGTGTATTGGGTTGTAGAGAATAGTCTCTGCGATCGCCTTTTGGACGATGTTTATTTACGTTTCGTTAGAGCATGCGCATGAGAGCTAAGATGGCGTGCGAAGGAAAACAGTGTTTTACCTAAATCTACTATTTTGTAATTTTCCATATATTTTGATAATTAAAGTGAGTTGAAACCTGTTTTCGGTCACATTTACTGGCAATCCCAGTACAATCCGCTGATGGTTCGTACTAATGTTGCTTTGAATTAACTGGTTCAATAAGTTTGATACCTGTTTAAGTTCATCCTGAATGCCAGTCATCGTTGGTAGAAATACTGCATTCTGTGTATCTTCCTGCGGACTCCTCTCCAACTCCTTATCGAAGTTTTGAACTTGACCTGCATTACTGTGGTGACTTCCCTCCTGGTTTTGATTGCTAGGTACACTCTTTTGTTGGGTGCTGTTGTTTTCCTTTCTGTTACCCCCGAAAATCTTATGCAACTCATTCTTGATGTTCTTTGCCAAAGCGGAGATACCAAATCTTCTATTCAAATGTTTGACATCAAAGTACAGTTTGCCATTACGTAGATTCCCATTATATACGTGGCTAACATTGGGGATATCTTTGATCTCTTCATGAATGTCATCATTAATGTCAGGGATTTTTCTATCTAACTCATCTCCTCTTGGAGTGATACCACATAGAAAAATTTGTCTTCCAGGAAATCTTTTTACTGCCATATTTTCCATTTGAACTTGGGATTTTACAATCTCTCCTGCAGATAGGTGCTCAAGGTCATTGACTCCAGTGTTTATGATGATTCCTTTTTTGACATCAAATCTTGGAGACTCTAGAATTTCTTTAGCCTTTTTTGTTGTATTACATGGAATGATTTTGCTATGTCTACTCGAACACAGCTTACTTATGTTTAAGAATTTCCTGTTCGAGTCACATAACATGACAAAGTCATGCTATTCGTCATGATTGGTAGCATTTCCATTGTCCGGAATTTTAACGTTGGGAGTTTCGGTGTCAGGGTTTTCGGCAGCAGTGATATTGGGAGAATTATTAGCAGCAGCGTCTGGATTAGCTTCTTTGGTTGAGTCAACAACTGAATTTTCACACTGTATTAACGTTGGATTTGTGTTGATATCATCATTATAGTTTACTTTTATAGCTGTATTTAGCGAACTTACTTCGTCTTTAAATGTTTTATTGTCAATTTCTAAGCTTTTTATCCGCTTCAACAAATTGGTTTTCTCTTCCACAAGTGACCCGACTCGACCTTGGAGCCGTTTCACTTCTGTTTCTGCTTTTTTTAATTTCTCTTCCATTTCATTTTTGAAACTATTTTGGTCTTCTCGCATTACTGATAGTTGGTGCTTCAATTTGCTGTCGATTGATGTGAATAACTTGCTTTTCAATTCACACACAATATTGTTCACAACTCTACAGTCAAAAACAGAATTAGTCAAATTTTTGTCCAGATTGGCAGTAATGGTTTCCAAGTTATCTATTCTTTTGTTGCAAAAATTTATCGCCTCAATACTTGTTGTAAATCTTTTACTTCCGAATTTGGATATGTTTTCTTAGTTTAATGAGCCTTCATATGTTTTTCCTTGTGACTTTGGGGTGTCAAGTTACTCGCCGGTAATTTATACGACTTGATTCTTGTTTTCCTGGGGGGCCCTGGGGGATTTCACTTTTTTTGGCGTTTCATTAACAATTTCTTCAGGTTCTTGACACCTAGGGTCATCCTCCGAGTCGGAATCCGCATACACATCTAACGAAACATTATCAAGGTTAATGATATGATCAGGTACGCTTTGACCATAAAATTCATTCGTGTAAAGTTCACCGTCGGTTTCTTGGTTGACATCAGGGCACATACATAGCTTTGATACTAAACAGATCAATTTCTGGTACTCGTTTCTTTTCCATATGTCGATAAACTTTCCTTCGATAAATAATTTCATCTTAGATATAATAGCTTTGATTGAAAATAGATTCTCGCTTGGAACTGACCCTGCAGACGCTTCTGACGTATCACATTTCTTGATATCTATTAAAATTTCTTCTAATGTGCTGTTATCATCGATCTTTCGAAGCCATGCTACATGCTACATCATAGTTATCACGACCGCCAAGATCTAACCAATACCGTAGTTTCAGAGATAACATCCATTTATCAAAAAGATCTTTTTGAGGAATTTCAATACAGTAAATATCCCCGTCTTGATATGTTTTGATTTCTTCCGACATCACAGTTAACATGCCTTCAATTTCGCTCATAAAACTTTCATCCAAGCCCTTTTCATCTCCAGTCTTTGACTATTGGGGATGGTCTTCCATCTTATTTACTTGTTTTCAAGTAGAAAACGCCATAAATATGCACAAAGAGTATAAAATCATGTAAAAAAAGCGGTCTGTCATCAAGTTACATCCGCCATATTTGCGAGCACGTGTTATATATAAGAAATGACGCCATGAAGTTCATCACTTACTATGAAACTAATATACCTCGGCCATGACAAACAATGCCATGAAGAATATAACTTTCACTGGCGTACGGGAGGAAATAAATTAGGGGGCGGACAAAACTTTGCCGGATGTTGATTTTAAGTGCAATCTGTTCAATCTGTCCGAGTTTTAAATAACTGCCCAACCAAAACATTATCGGGGGGCCGCTGCAGTTATTTTATAAAGGCTGCAAACCCAAGTTGACTGAGCACTGTCACGTCATAAATTTTCGTAAAGTCCGTTTTCCACTTGAGTCTTATCGTACCGAGGCATATTTCTTTGTTTCCTGAGCACTAGAGTGGAACTAATGACTACGGTACGTTAGAATTTAAGTTGAAAAACGCCCTTAATTCATATACAGAGCATAATAAGCGAGGTAGAGTTTTCGCAAACAGGTCTCTTGCTTTTCTCAGAAGAACTCCCTGCTGTCCTTTCAGGTTTGACTTATCATATCCTTTTTGTTATTTATCAAACATTTTGTCATGTTGTACATCAAACATGGGCGGGTGATCGTCCGTTTGCAGGAACGGAATATTCCCATAGAACATTGATTAGAAAATTGAGTTAGTATTTAACTTGTGCAATTCACTGTAAACATGGAATATGCAATTCGTATCTGATGTACATGCAGGCATATCAAAAAGGTTCCAAAACAAAACATTTCTTTTCCGCGCTGAGTCCGAGGCTTACAAAGACAAAGCACAATATATTTTGTTTTCAAATTTCATCTGCCCTTGTCTCTTGTGCAGGGGGGAGGAGGGGGGGGGGCTCTCAAAGAGAGGCGGGAGACAAAGCGTGGGTGACAAGGCGAGATGGTGCAACATGATAAACATGGGATTTTTGTTTTAGTGGTTCTAGGAATTCTTCAATCAGTGTTTTATGAAGAACGGACGTAACTTAAAATAGAAGATTTGGATACACCGAAGCTATTTCAGGTTGGACCCACATAAACTATTTTAATTGAATGGTAGGTCGACGTCATAGTAATCAAGAACAGATTACTAAAACATTGCTGCATCCAAGTCTAACCCTAAACTTCCAAAGAACTTTTCACGTTCTGAGAAAATGCAAAAAATAAAGTAATCTGCAAAAATATTGGAAAGTCAGCCCCTCCAATCGACACAAATTTTTAAAATACGGGGCTCCCAGCTTCAGATCCCTTGAGACTCCTCCTTCTAAACCCTGCGCAGAAGTAAGAGCCAGTGCGCTTACGAAAGACATTCACCCCCCCCCCGATATTCAAAAGCAGGCGCTCAGGGGGGTGAATGCCTCTCATAAACGCACTGACTAGGAAATGGCGGGAGCATTTTGATGACGAATTATTACGAATCATGACGTGGGTCACGTTGTATGAATTATACTAAATACACTAAGAACAAAACATGTGTTAATTAAACTTAATTTCTATGCTACCCTCAACTACCTGACTGCGTGCGGTCGATAACAAAAACACATACTGATCGTCGATCAATACTGTTGTTGGTGAACATCACGAAACAGTAACACAGGGTTCGTGCTGGTCTTGAAAGGTTAAGTTCAAGGAGTAATTAAGGTGTTTTAAAGAAGTAAAATACTACTTTTCAAGCAGTGTTGGAGATGTTTTCTTTCAAGGAAAATGAAAACATAGAAAATGACGGGAAAATCGAACGTAGATCGAGCCCACGGTTTATTGAGCAGTGTAGCTTCCAAACGAATATACTTGGTGTAATATTGACGAATTTGTACCACGAAATACCTGCGGCAGCTAACAAAAGTTAATACTATAGTTTCACTTACTATTCAGCATAGCATGCACGTTTAAACATGAAATTTTCTAAAGAAAACTGCACTGCTTGCTAAAATGTTAAGGCGTTTTTATTTATATTGTTATCATCCGTAATGTTTTTGATTATCTCTGATTATATTTTAATTCAGTTTTAGATAACTAACTAGTATTATCCATATTCAAATGCAATTGGTCTAATTGGATAACTTTCGAATATTGGGCTAATGTCGAACATTGGGCTGATATCTTCACATGCCAGAAGTTTATAAAATTTTGGGGTCTGGACTAAAATTCTATCGAACCTACCTTTAAGTTCTTTAACCTATTAAACTTCTTTTCACATGATCAAATGTAGCAGTGACGCAATTTCTTTGGACGCCGCCCAGTAACAGCTGGGGCCGCCAGGTAAGTTAGGCGCCCTGAAAGCAAGGATAACAAAGTCGCGATGTTGAAGTATTAATATCGATAATAAAATAAAGTCAATTTGCGTTGAAAGCAAGGGTGTCGGAATCGGGGGAGAAGCGGATCGGGGAGGCCCGCCCCCACATTTTTAGTTAGGGAGCTTAAATGTCTCCCCCCACCCACGGCGCCCCACTTTTTGACAATGGTCAATAATACACCACAAAGTTAATTTATATTATTTCATTTGCGCGTGTAGACAATTAAAACAATTTGAGATATTTATGACATTTTGTTACCTTTAGAACTTTGTAAATCTCCTTCTAAATAAAGCGCAGGAAACGGCATTTCAGAGACTTTAGTTTTAAATTTTTCAGGGGGCATGCCGCCAGACCCCCCTAGAATGTCACCCGTCTTCGGCGGGCACTAAGTGCCCCCCCACTTTTAGAGCCGCTCGGACGCCCCTGGTTGAAAGGATAATATTGATCGTTTTCTGATAAGAAATGTTTTATTCCATTCATGCATGGTTTAGAAACGAGACGTTGATCGAACTGTTGGTATTAATGACTTTAACTTGGACTTAGAAGCGATGCATTGCTTTCCTTATCTTCAATTTCAAGCCTTTATTAAGGCTGAATTATTACATATCTAGGGACAGGCAGGGAAAATTTTCTTATTCCTGGGAAAGTTACGGGGCAACGTTTGACTGAAGCTTTGCCTAAAAACGTTCGGAGAATTAATGCATTATGCCTGCTGCCTTGATGAGGTCATTTTCTGCTATTGAGAGTTATTGATTTACTTATACATGGCGGCCATGCAAGTGTATGTATTGCATGCTACTGCATGTAAGTCTATTTAATAAGTATAGAAAGTAAACGATATTTATAGTAAAAGTAAAAGTAAAAGTAACAGATATTTATATAGACTTCGAATTGGCTAATTGAGCCTAAACTTATAAACGTCGAACTCGGCAAAACTAGATATAAAGAGATCAAATGAATGCAGAATTGTGTTTCAAAGTCAAAACATAGTTCAAACACTCATTAATAATTCATAAGCTTATTGGCGAATCATGTCAACCATAACATGTCACGTGCAGTGGCTTTAAACCTGATAAAACACTCCTAATTAGTATTCTTTATATAAAGAATACTAATAAGGCAGTATCTATTGTTGTCGTGTCCTCATTAGTATTTTTTATGTAAAGAATACTAATAAGGCGGTATATCTATTGAATTTGTATAGTCGTGTTTGAAGCCGTTTAATAAACTCGCAGGTCGTGTTTTATTAGGTCTAAAGCCACTCGCGCTGCGCGCTCGTGTCTTTAAACCTAATAAAACACTCCTGCTCGTTTATTAAACAGTACATGAAATACCTGCTCTGGGGTCTTCTTTCAATTTCACATTTGAGATGTACTGCGATTCGAGCAGGCAAGACTGGGATTTGGTTTAAACTAACTTGCTGGTGGGAAATGGGATTAAGACCCCCTGAGGACCCTCGCAAGGGTACCAAACAAATTATACCGTATTTGTTTAAATCGGCATGCATAAATAGAAGCACACTAGTTGTTACTGTTTGTGTCTCAACTAACCGGAAAAGAATGCACATACTTCTTTTCATCTCTTTCTGACTTTCTGTTGCTACACAGAATCGTTCACATAACCAACATAGTAAATTATTCTTGCAATAATGGTCATTTTAAAATACTTTTTTCTTTAATTTCTAATCCGGTAGAAGAGCAACTCGTGCATATTTACACGAATATATATATCAAGAAACAAAACTCGGAGCCAGTTTCACCCTCAGGAGTGACAGTGTTTCCAGACCCAGGCGTCAAGAACATGAAGTTTGATTTTCAAAGACAAAGACAAAGACAAAGGAGACACTCGTCATCTAGCAGTACAACTACCAGTTATAAATCTCTCACATCTGAGATCACACCTATTGATATTGATATTGCTTAATACTAGATTCCCCTTATTACGTTTTCGTAGCGCTTTGTATTGCGGTTATACAGGGTGTATAAAAAAAACTGAACAGATATGAATTTGCTCTCAATTTCGCAAAACAGCTATTAGCATCCAGTTTTTGATGTATATAGCTTCTTTAGGTACTTATAATGTAGAATAATGAAAAAAAATTCTGGAACTCAAATTTTGTGAACCACGGGGTGTGTCTTTTCCAACAAATTAAAAATGGCTTGCGCACGAAATATTTAAGCTTTAATCATATTTTGAGCTAATAGATGGAAAATTTGTTGGACTTTTAATTACTGTACAAAATGTCAGACAATTTGCTTTAGTTTAAGCCCTTTAACTATTCACACAAACTTACATTTTTTCCTAAAAATCAGCTATTTGCATGCTTAATTAATGCCTTTGCCTAATTTGCATAGGTCAGCAATAATATTAAGCATGCGAAAGGCTGATTTTTTAAGAAAAAATGAATAGCTAAAGGACTTAAACTAAAGCAAATTGACTGAAATTTTGTACAGTAATTAAAAACCCAACATATTTTCCATCTATAAACTCACAATATGATTAAAGCTTTTAAATTTTGTGCGCAAGCCATTTTAGTTTGTTGGAAAAGACACTCCCCTGAGTTCGAGAAATTTTTTTCATTATTCTATATTATAAGTGCCCAAAGAAGCTATATACATAAAAAAACTGGGTACTAATGGCTGTTTTGCGAAATTGAGAACAATTTCAAATCTGTTCAGTTTTTTTTTATACACTCTGTAGTGGTATCACTGATATTCAAGATGGCCTAGCTATTTTTTGTCCTGACCCGTGCAAGAACGTTTAAAAAAAGCTAGGGTCAGGTGCGTACTATTATTAAATAATAGTAAATATAGTAATGGTTGTGATAATGAGATTTTGGTGGATATTATAGTAAGGGGGAGGGGGCAGAGAAGGGTGGCAGGAGAAGGCGCAACCGCTCTCCCTCCCATAATTTTTAAAGGCCTTCGAAAGAGCAGAATATAAAAGTGTATGGCTGTTGCGCAACAAATTAAGCTGTATACCAAATAATTTAAGAACCCTCAAAGCTTTTCTAGGCATTTATGAGAGCAAATGTGCATACCCTTTCATAAATTTAAGCCAATTTCAAAAAATTATCTGGCGCAAAAAAGCTGGAATAATTTGGAAACCTGCGCCCTAGTGTCCGCCAGTGCATGCTGGTTTTTATCTAAAAGATGACAATATTCACTCTTTCCGTCATACTGATGAAAGGAAATAAATTTTCAGTTGTAATCCATGGAAAATAATCGTCCCTTACTTGTTCCGTCTGTTCGGCATACAATAATTCACCAGTAAAACTGCATGATAGAAATCAACAGGAAAGGTATTTCACCCCAACTAAGAGAATGTATGTTAATTATATACGTATACTGTACGAGGGATAACAGTGAACGAGATCATGAAAGAAATATTTATTACACTCACTTATTCATGATATCTGTGTATCACTTGATACACAGATAATTAACTACATTTACATAATTAACTATATTTACACCAATTATAATGATGCATTTATCACTCTACTGTGGTGTTATTAGTAGAAATATATACTACCAGAAACATGCAGCTATGTACTTCAATTTACGTTGCTATCCTTTTCTAAACTTTCATAATAACCACGGTGAGTGCTTATATTACTGTTTTTTACAATATAAAAAATAATTCAACTAAACTGAACAAGTATGAAAATAAATACCATTAAAATTGAGTCATTAGGTAGTATGTCTAGTATGAGTTTACTGTTTCCAGTGTGTTTATGTATGCATTCCATTGTTGTGCACGACAAAATGAATTGAAATACTATCAACTATCACTCCAAACAGCACCGAGAATGTACTCCGATTTTGATGTACTAGTAAAACTCCGCCCTGTTGCCTTTTCCAGTGTAGTTCAGACGCAACTCACGGCAGTCGGAAGCAAGTTTATCCAGTATAAACCTAACACAAGACTTGCTTACTAGCCAAGCACCACAGGTTGACACCACAAGCACCATAACATATAACATTCACCATAGAACATGCTGCGTGCATTTTGATAAATCTTTGTTTTATTTCCCTGTACGTAAAATCATGCTCTACGAGTTTTGGACTAACTGGACCAACACCATCTTCAATTCCGAGAAACTTTACACGTTGTGCTCTGATCTGCACCATCCTGATCGTCTCAGGTCCAAGGTAGAAGTAATTCACAAGTGAACACAGCAAGGAAACAGAGATACTGAGTGTCTATACATGGAAAATTACATATTAATTCGTTATTTTAATCAATAAGTTTGCTAAAGACTAAAGCTGGATTTCCACTTGCAAGAAAGAATTCGTTGTCGAAATTTTTCGCTCAATTTCTTCTGAATTGTGAATAGTGTACAACATGTCCCTGCGAGCAAACTACATAGTCTACATACTGCTGCAGTGGTAGAGAACAGCACTAAGTGACACGTACAGCTGCCGAAATACTTTGTTTACGACAAATGATATGCATTGATTTCTTTTTCCCAGGGCCAGCTGTTAGTTGAAAACATTTATATTTAACTTCCGGTTTTGCCCCAAATGTTTTAAACATTTATTAATTTTTTTATATACAATGATCTTGTCTTCAATCTGTGAAATTCAATTCTTCAATAAACCTTTCCCCTTTTAAGTGAGATTTTGATCTAGACCAGTCTGGACAAAAATTTCATCACAGCTTGGAAGAGCATCGCAAAATTAGTAATATTGCAAAGTTTCGTTGCGAAATGTTGTAAAATGCGGATAATATAGCCTTGCGAAGTTTGCCGTTTTTCAGTCATTTTGATTACAAATGGGAAATTGATAATCAGATGATCAAACTGATTATCAATTTCCCGTTTGTAATGCAAAATGACTGAAAAACGGCAAACTTCGCAAGGCTATATTGTCCGCATTTTACAACATTTCGCAACGAAACTTCGGAATATTACTAATTTTGTGATGCTCTTTCAAGCTGTGATGAAATTTTTGTCCAGGCTTGTCTAGATCAAAATTTCACTAAAAAGGGCAAAGGTCTATTGACTGGCATAATTCAGTAAAGTGAGAAAGAGTTAGAATATAGAGGGCCTTTTTCAAGGAAAGCAAGATTGCGGTATTTCATAACTATATGTATTGACCAAACTAGTCTTCCTCGTGCCATGCGACCAAGCTTGTGTCCTTGTGTGGAAAAGGCCTGGTCGCACGGCCTGAGAAAGATTAATGTACAATATACCGCATGGAAAAGCACAAATGCCGTGGCTTTACACACCTGATACAAAGATAGACTGTCTTCCTGCCATGATTTCACGGGATTCATGTACAGATGAGTGAAGAGCGAGATAGTACTCATTATTATGCCAGATATGAAGTACATTGGGAAGATTCGACTCTGGACTTGCGCAAACGCGCTTCTGGTCAACGTTTTAAACATCGTGAAACCTGTGAGAACAAACAGAAATACCTTCATTAATTAATACTACAGAGAAAATTAACTTTCCCTGGAAAACCAACAACTGATCAAAAACATTAATTATACATCAGTCATCACAACGTTCTCTTGAAGGTTATAGATCTGATAGCCGAAAGCTCGTAAATAAAAATATCGTGTCAGAGAGCGTTGTGATTCATTGTAATAGACTTATTTCTCTAATTGTACCATGAAGTCGATGGTTAAGACTACAGGTAAAAGCTGCACTCTAAAGGCAACCCCCTCATCATGCAGGGTTTCTTATATTTCAGGTTTATTTTTTTCTTATACAGGGTTTCTTGATGCTATATTGAACGTTGAGCTCTCTTAACTGTATCCCAATTGTCAACGACTCAAAGTCGCAAGTTTCCCCGACTTGGTACGCACACGTTTTGGAATCAAAAACAGGCGTTAATTAAAGTTGAACGAGCAGTCTAACAAAAGTTTTGGCCAAAAATAATTTTAGAGCACTTTCTATAACTTTAATTTTGGGTGTACTCAAATGTTAGAGATAGATCTTACCTGACACTTGCACCCAAACTTGAATGCCAACCCACGTAGCAAACGTTAACAGATGAATGAAATTAATAGTTGAATCTAGATGTTTTCTTATAAACGATTCTTTCTTTTCTTTATTGTCGCTGGAAGAATAAATAACAAAACCCAGAGTGGCGACAAATGCAACAACATGGGATAAAGCACCATTATGACTCGGAAAGATGTTGTGTGCTGAGATTTTTCTTCGTCGTCCCATCTTTTCTTGAGTTTGGATAGTTGTAGTTTGCTGCATTTTTCTTTCTAGTTGATCACACAAAAAAGATCTTCTTTATTGCTTAGTCAAGCTTCACCTTATCCATGCACGATCGACGAGTCAGCTTATATAGGCACCTGGTCGCCTCTCGACCAATCAGAAAACGTCTGTGATGTTATGCACCTGATCAAACACTAAATTAACATTTGTTGTTTATTCAAAATATTTCTATAATGTTTACACAAAACATTTCAGAACTTACTGTTGTCGCGTGACTATGTGTGTGCCTGTGTGTTGACTGCACGTGCATGATTGTGTCCGTATGCAGGGGCGTAGGAACCAGGGGGGGGGGAGGGGGTCACAGGGAGCACGTCCCGCCCGCCAAATTTTTTCAGAGGACTAAAACTTGTGTGATGGAAAGTGCCCTTTTTGTTGCAAGCTAATGTCGCAAATAAATTATTTCAAACATTTTTTTTTGCTTTACATATCTTGCTGTGAGTCAACCTCATGCACACACCCGAGTCAAAAAGAAAATTCAAATTGCTGTGCCTTCCATTCTACAACAATAAATGTCCTTAGGTGTCTCATTTTGCCCCGCATTACCCTACACATCGTATATTAATATGGTTCGGCTCACCGCACACTTTCGTTGAGTGCCAATGTTTATTGTTTAGGACGTAATTCTCCAAGATGTTGCTGTTAGAATTCCGAAATGTAATACGACCCGATATGAAGTCTGCGCTCATGTCGAATATTATTTCACTCAATGTAGACACGATAAAAGTGCAACAGTAATGTACTTATACGTGATTCCTGTTCACGTTTAACTATATATACAGGGTGTATAAAAAAAAAACGCAACCTCGGAATTTCCTAAGAAACACTTCTTAAGCATAAAAGATTTTAGGCCCCTGGGAATTGAAATCGAATTGCTAATAGATCATATTATTGTTGTTGTGATTAAATAAATGCATAAATTTTGCTTTATGCACTCGCGTGTACAGTAATATTGACTAGTTGTGCTATTTTAAATTCCCAGGCGCCTAAAATCTTTTGTCTTTAAAACTATGTCGATTTCTTGGGAAATTCCGAGGTTGCGTTTTTTTTATACACCCTGTATAAGTCCAATGCTCCATGAAACACATCAATACACAATTGACTGATAAAGTATTTTCAATTGTTCGCAAATGATATGTTGAAACAGAGACAGGATATAAGCCAATATACAGGGTGTATCAAAAAAAGGAGACCTTTAGAAATCAAGCGTATTGTTAAAATTTGAATGCCTTTTCTATTGCACATGTGCTGAACCGTAGTGCGTGAAATATTGATGGGGTGCATATATTAGAAAAAGGAGACCTTTAGAAATTGAAATAACATTTAAACAAAAGATTGTCTGCTCCTGGGAACAATCTGCCATGCATACTGTACGTAGAACGCATGTTACGCACTCGTGGGCTTAGCAAAGTGCTCCAGGATTCAAATTATAACAATGGTTGATTTCTAAAGGTCTCCTTTTTCTAATCTCCATCAATATTTCACGCACCACGGTTCAGCATTTGTGCAACTGAAAAGGCATTCAAATTTTAACAATATGCTTGATTCTAAAGGTCTCCTTTTTTATACACCCTGTACTGTACTGTGCTGTACAGTACTACAGTGTGTCCCCCCAAAAAGGCTACCCTTTGAAGTCAAGCGCTAGTGCCGCATGTTCGAATTTGAATGCTTTAAACTCCCTAATGAGCCCTGGAATGCGTAAAACGTTATACAGGGTGTCTCAAAAAAAACCAAAATCATTGAAATTGACGTATTGTTCGATATTCAATGCCCTAGCACTAAGTTAATCCCACAAGTGCATAAAAGATTGACATAACTGCTATAATGAATGGTAATACTCAGCGTAAACTTGTTATGTCAGGCATAAAGTACTAAACCCACGAATGCATATTACGCATATTACAATTTACGAAGCATTTTTAAATTCCCATGAGCAAACAAACGTTCACTTTACAAAGATATTTTAATTTTTTAAAACAAATTAATCACCCTGTCAAAATCCTTTGTGTTACGGCATTGAAATTCGAACAATACGTTATTTCAATGATTTTGGGTTTTTTTGAGACACCCTGTATAGATATATATAGATATATATATAGATATATATAGATATAGATAGATATATATATATATATATATATATATATATATATATATATATATATATATATATATATATATATATATATATATATATATATATATATATATATATACACTGTTAATTTTAGGGTGTTAAAATAACACCAAAAAGTGGTGTTAAAAAATTAGGTAAAAAATGACACTACTTTTTGGTGCTATTTTAACACCACTAAAAAAGTGTTAAAATAACACTAGATATGGTGTTAAAACAACACCCATTTTTAGTGTTAAATTAGCACCAGTTTTGGGGGTTAATTTAACACCTGTTTATAGTGTTAAACTAACACCACTTTTAAGTGCTAAAGTGACACCAGTTTTAAGAGTTGTTTTAACACCTATAGTGTGGCGTTAAAATAACACCTGATTTGGCAGTGCCAAAGCAACACTTCTTCCTATCTGGTGCTAAAATAACACCAGATTTAAGGCGTTGATTTAAAACTTTCAACCAGGCACATTAAGACACACACAAAAGAGAAATATAGGTTCAAAATTGGTTATTATTATAAATTACTCGCTGACAAGAAATACCTTTAACATGCATGAATTTATATGAACTAAGTATTTATCACGATTAATTTCGGAGTCCAAGCTCACTTAAAAGTTGTTGTACAGAAATTTTGTTCTCGGCATCAGCAGGGCAGTTTAAGGTTCTAGATTCTAGAAATGCATAAACACTCGAAACACCTGGAGTGTATTCCATATTTAGAACATGGAATGTAGCAACAAGTATGTGGAATATTTTTACCAGCAAAACGCAAGTAAATTTGCCCCACGGCAGCAATGTACAATGGGTCCAAGGATGCAATGTCACCTGATGCCAAGATTCAAGGATAGGTTGATTTCCTCACTTCTTCATCAATGGCCATTGTCCGTCATCCTAAAAGTATTCATTTTCACATTAGTCTATATAGTATATATATTTAGTAATTTTAAATGTTGTCAAGTTCTAATGCTTGAACAAGAGTTAAATGTTGTATTCTGATTGGCTTTACGCTACTCGTTATCTAAATGTCACTGAGATATCTAGCTAGAGCGCAAACCATCTCTTTGTTGAGACAAATAAGCATTGATCACATGCAATGATAGGATAAGAGATGTGCCATCTCACCTTAACACTACATGTAGCAATTAATATTTTTCAAAAGGAGTACAGTATCTAACAGGGAAGCCATCGAGCAAGTGTCACCTAGCTGAACTATATAATTAGTCACTGGTACAGACTGGCCCGTACAGTGCAATTGCATTTTACCATTGAAAAATCATATCGATACAATGCCATTTTAAGAAAGAAAAATTACCCCCATTGTAGTGTTAACTGTGTCAAATGGGTCATTTGTCGTGGATGGATAAGAGATGTGCTATCTCACCTTAACACTACATGTGGCAATTATTCTACTTTAAAATGAGAATCTGTTGCAATAAGAACTTAATTAGGTTTAGTGTATCTTCTGACATGGTTGAGAAATTTGACATTATATCATAATCAATATTTTCACTCTTAAATATTAATACTCAGGACTCTCCCATTGATAGCCCAATGATAGGTAAAATTATCTCTGTCATTATACCGTAAACCTCCGACTATAAGCCCCCCCCGACTATAAGCCCCCCCCGAATATAAGACCCCCGGAATATAAGCCCACCACATATACTAACTCAATTCATTCCAAATATAAGCCCCCCGTGAACATAAGCCCACCCAAATATAAGCCCCCCAAATATAAGTCCCCAGAATATAAGCCCAGTAGCCCACTACGTTATTCAACATTTTCATTGTCTTTTAATATATATACCAGAGAACGATATTTAAAAACATTGTCATTGT